CCCCAAAACCCCAAAACCCCAAAACCCCAAAACCCCAAAACCCCGCAAGAGTTATTTGCTATTAAAAGGCCAAAATAAAATTTGAATTTAAAAATGAATTCTACTTTATTTCCCTATCAATTTAAAGATGTAAGTGCAATCATATAGCTCCACAAAACTTACTGAATAATCTTTAGATAGGTTATTACGCATAACTCTGGATCGAGTCAGATGAGTCAAATTTCAATCAGCCAGTGCTATTTATTGTCTTAAACAGATATGGAGACAAAAATAGTAACATTATGATTCTTTAATCCCTAAAATTAAGATTAATGGAAAGGAACATTTTCAAGTGAATTAGTTTAGACCAGCTCATTAAAGTCTGGTCTCTAACAGACTGTCCCATCTTTTTATGAAATGCTGAAAGCTACGCTAACTCATTAAATGCCAAGCACCTCTCTCGACTTACTATCGTAATAAAAATTGATATTTGCTTCATAATATATATTTAGATAAGAGGAGTTAAATGAAAGACGTAGAAGAGCATAAATGAATTAATCTAGAATGAGCAGTAGCAGCAGTTAAAACTCAATGATGGTGACTGAGCTTAGCAATCAGTTGCAGTAAAGATACTACATGATTTTGAGTTTAAGAACAAGCAACGGAATGAAGTATGATTATCCTTTTCCTTTGAGTTATTTAAACCTGTATGATGAGCTCATCTAGACAAAGCAAGCTCTTATTGAGGAAATGGAGGAGTTAAAACATTAGCAATAATCTTGTAAACAAGACATAATTAATGAAAACTAATAGTTGAAGATAAAGTTTAATTGGTTGAGATAAATGTACGATCTAGACTAAAAGAAACGAAACACTGAGTCATATCTCTAAGAAATTCAACATGAAATACATATAAATCGAACTTAACTACTGTAAAAAGACCAAGGTCTGAAATAAGAGTTGAATAATCTAACTTAAATACTATAAGAAGAATAGTAAAGGAATAAGTTGGAATATAAGAAATAGATTAAGACACTTGAACAGCTGCATCTTGGTATAGATGAGTCAGTAAAAGAGTAGAAAAAGATAAAGTTAAAGATCAATTAGACAGAGAATGAACTACAGATGTCTATTAGTAATCTAGCAACATTAAGGAAATAGCATGGTTATAAGGAGTCATAGCAGAGGCAAGTTTAAGATGAATTCGAGGGTGGAATAAGTATAAGAGATTCTACTCAGAGTCTACCATCCAGAGATAGATAAACTATTGATACTAAGAAAGCCAATGTTAAATCTAGAAATAATAGCTTTTAGAGTCCAGCTGCTAAAACTAATTAATATCAATCACATAACAGCTCTTTCAGCAGTAATCGAAGTATCTCTAAAAGTAAGGTTAATAACTCTAATTAAAAGAAAAGGCCATTATACTAGTAACCTTCCCCAAAAGCAGTTAAACCCTAGGTTTCAAGCCGAAATAATAGTAGAAGAAATAGTATAGACAGAGGTAGTATGAATGAGAGTAAGTTGTCCATTTCTAGTTCTAGCTATTAGAAAAGCCCTACTTCGAGTTAAGGGATCAGCAGATTCTAGAGACAACAATAACTTCTCAATTAGCAAAAGAGAAGTTCATCAAGGCAGAACAGTGCCAATAAAAAGCAATTAAAACCAAATTAGCATAGTAATAAAAAACTACCATTAAATAGTAAGCATGTTGAGATCTTAAATCAACATACTGGTACTGGAAATAATTCAAGGAAGAACTTGGTCCTAGACGAAGATATCGACTTCAACAATTAATTGAATTAATAAAACACTTAAATTGAGTACCTTAGACAGGATAAAAAACAACTTATCAATAAGGTCTAATCTGAGAGAGATAGACCGCCTAATAATAGTTATAATAAATACCAGAATCAAATCAATAACTAAACCTTAAATCTTGAGATAAGTCAGCAAAATCTCATGAAGCAATCAATTGAGTCATTTGCTTAGGAATCTTTTATCTCAGAGATACCTAATGGAGACAACAGATTCCTAAACAACACTCTTAATCAATCTTAAAGTGTACATAATTTCAGTATGATGTAGAGTAACAAGGAAAACATCCCTATGAGAATAACTCTGAGATAGGATCAAAACATCAATAACATCTCAGTTCTAACAAACTCCACTCCAACTAACATATAGCAGCAGCAAAGTAGGTATCAAATACAGAAGCAATAACTTATGAACTCAGATAATATGACTTAGTAAAATAATTAATATATGGAATCTCAACACACTTTATCCAAGGTTTAATCCCAGCCTATGTTCATGCAATCTTAGCAGCTACCAAATCTAAGTCAGAGCATGAACTATAACATAAACCCAAATTAATCTTCAATGATGATGAACGACAGTCATATATCATAGTCTCAGACCCCTAATATTTACAAATAGCTTAAAGCTCAAGAGTTAAATGCCAGCACTGCAGGTAATAATGCCAATGGATTCAATGTGAATGATATAGATCAGAGGTATAATAATTTACTATCTCTACTCAGAAGTGCTAAGGGAGCACCCACTTAGAATAATTGATTTATTTTAAATCTCAAATAGTTTTAATGTATTGCAATTCAAGGGGTTTTGGGGTTTTGGGG